AACTTCCCACATTAAGAAATTAGGGAAGTCTCTTTCTATCTAAGGGAGAGTCCAGTACTACAGCTTGGCTCTTTTTCTTTTGGATCACTTTGAAATGGTGATACAGATTTACCCAGTTACAAAACCCAACAAATAAACAAAACCCAAGAACCACTGCAGAACCAAAACATCCTATTTTGCAACCTCTCTGGCTGGAGCTGCCCTCCAACCCTCCTCCACCCTTCCACCTTAAATGAAACAACGAAAGCTAACAGAGGCTGTGTGACAGAAAGGGCAAGGCAGAAGGAGAACCCCTGCTGCCCAGTGCCCAAGACGCCCCTGTGTGACGCAGGGGAGAGGGCGGCCTCTGCTTTGCGTGGTCTGAGTGGGTGAGAATGTGGGACTGAAATTGCTCCATGGCAATTTCAGCTCTTAACAGACAGGTAGTCTTAGCATGGAGTGGGCTGGGAGGGGGTCTGCTGTGTTGTCCAGCAGATGTGGGGTGTCCTTTCATCCTAAAATCCACTTTGATGTGGTTTGTTAAATAATGTGACTTCCTATAAAAGCCCGTTCACCTAGTGACAGCTTCTGTAGTGAAAACATTTTCACCTTTAAAAGTACCAGAGGAAGGGATCGCTCGGCCGCCTGGCGAAGTCTCACTGATGAAAATCCAGTCTGTTAAGAAAATTTCCCCCTGAAGAACCTCTTTTGAAGTAGCTTAATCCAATTTCCCCATTCTCAACAAAAATGGAGGGCAATTAGTCATCAACCACCACTAACAACATGAATGTGCTTCAACACGCTTAGGATGGCGTAATTTTATCTTGAAAGATATGGTGACATCACAGGAGTTGTTTCTGGATCATTTAATAAAAATCTTAAGGAGATATTTGTGCTCAAACTGCCTCCTGGCTTCCCTAGCCCCAGGATACTTCTGCATTTTAGTTCCCCAATATTCAAATGATGATGCCTGGGTTAGACGATGCCTCTGCCTGGACCAGGGAGCAGTCATTACAGTATAATCAGGCATGCATGTGTTCTGGTCTGTGTCTCTGGTTTCAACTTGGCTTAAAAATACTCTGCTCTATGTAATGTCATTTTCATTTTGAAAATAAAAACAAATGGTCAGTTCAGAGACACTTGTACCAGAGATGTGGGGACAAAATAAATTTCAATTGGAGCGGCAAGAGTGGCCCGAAATGAACAGTTAAGCAGAGGTTGAGGTAAGACTGGTTTTTTTAGCCATGGTCTACACAGAGTTAAGGATTTGGCTGGGATGTAGCTGTGTACATTCATTAAAACATGTAGTTTTCTTTTATCCTCACTGAAATTAAATCAGTTCAGTATGCTGATGATGATGACTTTATGATGGTCAGATCTGATTGGCTGTTAATGACATCACAGGAATCACCAGGATGTAGTCCTGGTGAATACTTTCATCGGTTGCACATGTCTTTGATAAACACAAATGGGGAAACATTAATATTACTTAATAAGGTATCTTTGATTTGAAGATAACCTTGAGTTGGGGGGTCTTCAAAGAGGACTAAGCAGCAAAAGAAACACCAAAGGGCGTGTTTTCTCCTGCTTAGAGAGCCTACTCTGCTATTCGAGCCACAAATTTATGAGAGGGTTCACAAAACCGAGCTGTGTTAATACAAAAGTAGGAGTAGGCAAATGGTGCCTTCTGCTTCCAACAGTACAGAAAGCATCTCACTCTTTGGACATGCCAGTCCAATGACCACTATTCAGTACCAAGAAAACATATGGCCACAGAAATTCTCCTAGCAAAGTAGCTTAAAAGTTCAAGCCAACTCAGGTAACACCGATCTATTTTCAAGATCTCACAACAGTTTTTGCTGACGGTACACTAGTACATTTAGTTCAATCATTATGTTTGAGTTGGTTCCTTAAACATACATGGATTTGGTCCTTTCAAGGAAACCTAATGTCAGTATTGACACCTATTTCTTGGATTAAATTTTAGGGAACTAAATGGAAGTAGGGAAACCTGCCTTCCTGGTTTAAGGAACCTATTTTGCTCCTAGTAAGCATAAAGTACCCCCACTAAGTAAACCAGGCAAGGACTACTCTATCTCAACCCTGCTCTGAGGCAGCTCATTTTTTATTAAGAAAAACGATTGTAGGATTTTGCCCCTGACATTAGGTTAAACTAAGGCTACTTGGTGGATTAATATCAAACTAGATTACATGTCAAAACCTATAATGAAAATAGACCCGGTCCTTGCTAAGTAAGGATCCTTCAGATTCATTTTCACCCAGGACAGATCACTTCATCTAAAACTTTATATAACACTTCTGTTGAAAACATAACGCTTAACACGACTTAGGCCCAACAGAAACTAAGTCCTGAGTGGTAAAAAACAGAATTTGCCACTTCCTTAAGAAAGATATAACCACCAGGACTAATATGCCAGGTTCCATCTCAGCCCCTACTGTCATCACCGCATCTATGACAGTTTCACACACTGTCATTTATCTCACGGTGCTCACAGCAGCCAGTTTCACAGAACACTTTCCTTAAGTGATGTTCCTCATGAAAACATCAGGTGATGATGAACAGTGGCTTGTTATTCAAGCTTCGTCAGGATTAGGCTACAGAAAAGATGATATGAAAAGTCCCCTGAGGAAATATCAGATGTGGAACACGATGGACAGAGTTGACACAAAGCACTGTGTTATTTCCATCAAAACACCAGGGCTCTGACATTGACCAGCTTTGTGACCTTGGGCCCCAGCCTCTTTACAACAAGGGAGGGATGTTAATAGCGTCCATCTCTTTTCACTCTGCCCAGCATTAAAGATGGAGTTCAGGACAGTGCTTGACACAAAATACACCCACATGGTAATTCCTGTAATTACTACGTTTTGCAGACTAGAACACTCACACACACAAGTAAATGGAATTAGTGGCTGTGCAAGCTGCCATCTTTCTGGGCCATTACCATAATCTTGTTCTTTTCTTTTTACATATGGCACTATAACCTGTTATGGTCAGACAATCTGCACACTTGGACAACTATCTTTAGTCACTGGGTTTCGACACATTAAAGTATGTCATGATAGACTTTATTGTTTGATTTCAATATAATCAACCAACTCCTTCCAGAACAATCAGACGAAAACAAGCACAGCATGCTAAACAGTTATTCCGGGAGAAATGAGCACTGCTTTTCTTCACAAACAAGACAATCTCTGAGGCTATTAATGGTTATGGTGTTTATATGGTGCGTGCTAGTTTGCAAAACACTTTCGGCACAGTGATGTGGAAGCTCCTCCCATCCTTGCTTTTCTTGCTTCCAGTTCTCCACAGGGAGAGCCACGGGGAGGTGTCCACCAGGAGCAGCCAGGTATCATGGGCAGCCACTGTTGCCCATTTTCTTACAGCTCGCTAAAGGAGCGAAGAACCACACTTTTCTCAACACATTCACAGAAGACCTACGGAAGCCACAGAGTCTCACAGAGCGCGATTAGATTTCATTATTAGCAAAAAGACAGCTTGACTCCAGTCACTCCGAAGTTTAGCCAGTAGTCCACAGAAATTTCCAAAGTTCTCGGTCTACAAGAGTCACTCCTAAACTGCCTGTCTGTGCAGCGGCCTTTGCCACAAAATATGTTTTTATTAACAGGGGAATTCTCCCATATGAAATCTTAAGTTTGCACATTAGAAATAGGAAAATCTGAGAGCCATGTGGCTCAGGTGGGCCTTGAACTCATGCTCCTCCTGCCCCAGCCCCCTGGGTACTAGGATTACAAGCGTGTGTGACCAATGCCCAGCTAGAATCACAGATTTTTAAGCTTTGAAAGAACTGGACCTTATAGGCATTTAATAAGCAGCAAATAGCAACATAGTAAGGCATTATTTTGAAGTGATTCAGTCATCTACACCATGTTATTAAAGACAAGCAAAGAAAACAGTATGTCAGACATAACAGCATGGAACTGGAAAGGCCATCTGACTGACACTCATTTCTCATGGGAGGTAATTTGTAGATTTTTTGGTGTGTGTGGTGCTGGGGACTGAACCCAGAGTATCGTGCATGCTAAGCAGATGCTCTATCACTGAGCTACACCTCAAGCCCACTTTGTAGCTTTACAAATTCTGTTTTCATTTGGTCTTAGCTTATCCTCTAAATGGTGCAATACACCTTCACCAGTCTTTACCAGAAAGTAATACAAATCTCGTGAGCAGAACAGGACTCATGGCAACCCCACAGGCTTACCCCATATCCAGGTAGCAAATGCTTGATATTCAGGGCCTTCTGGGTCCAGGGATGAACCTATCTTTGTCCCTTACTGAGAGGCGACTTCTGTTCTCACTATCATAAATGAGGCTAAAGCCCAGGACATGGAAACTGAGCCACCATGTTCATCTACTGTCCCACTCACACACCACTGGGGCAGTCAAGTGGCAAGCGTTTCTCAGCACTGAGGAACTTATGTGGTCCAGTTTAATCAAAAATAACCGACTCTTAATCCTATACAGAACATAAGCCCAAGATCTTTGTTTTATGAAACCAGGATTACAGCATGGAATGCTACAATGCCTTTGAAAACATGAGCACTCAGGAGAAAAACGTTTGCAGATGAAATCAAGAAAGTTGAGAAGACTACAGAAAGAGAAAAGCAGGAAAAGGCTGAGTCACCACGCTGGCAGACAAACATCTGCAGCAGAGTTCGAAACACAGCCCTGGTCACTAACAATGACAGTTGTAAAGACCATTAGGAACAGAGTCCATGATGTCAGTTTTCGGCTTGCCTGGAACTTTCTCAAGCATCCTTTTGACCTCTGGATAGCATGTCAGGTCCCAACGAGGACCCAAGCCTCCAGTTTCCTGGGAACTGCCCCATGTGCCTGCACACCATCTCATACATCCAGCCTCAAATGCTGTATGACAGTCATTCTACAAGCTTCTACAAAAAAGTAGGCAACCCCCCTTCCATACCAACTATCAACTTCTTTTAATAACAACCTTCGGCAAAAGCGAAGAACTCCCTACCTTGAAAACATCAAGCTGCTGATTGATGGCTTCTGTTTCCATGCCAACAGGACCCTGTGACTCTTCACGGTCTTCAGCCTTCTGGAGCTGAGTTGAGAAGTCTTTCAACTTGCTGTAGAATTCGTCAAGACGCTCAATGGTCCCTTCAACCTGCTCTTCCCTGGCCTGAGCTCGGTCCAGTAACTTGTTGCACTGCTTGCTTAAGGCCTCCAAGTCCCTTTTGATCCCAACAAGGTCAGGAGAGGTTTCTTCTGTGGCCAGCATCATCTTACAGGTTTTGTTGGCATTGTCGTTGCTCGCCATGAGGGCTTCTAGTTTCTTCAGAAAGGTTTTGATATCCTCCTTTTGCTTCTGCAATGTGTCTGCATCTCTCCCCACTGGAGCCATGCTATCCAGCTCATCATCAAACTCAGCAAACTGGGAGAACATTTCTCGGATGGAATTCTGGAAGTGCCCAATGCCCTGAAGCTTGGTTTCTAGGAACGAACACTTCTCTTCCACCTGCTGACTTAGTGCACTGTGCTCCTGAGCTAGCGTTTCTGCTTGCAATAAAATCTCCAAAGTTCCCTTTGAGTCTGAGGCTTCTACCACAAGGTCCTGTGCAAGTCTCTTGGCCAGATCTACCTGGTGCTGCAAGGCCTGAAGTGACTTCTGCTGAGTCTGCAGCATGGTCAGGTGCTTGTTACTGTGAGCCTGGGCTCCCAAGGAGTTGTGGACATCCAGCTGCTCCTTTGCACACTGAAGCTGCTTTTCAGCTTCTTTGGAAACTTCCTGAAACTCTTTGAACTTCTGGGCCATGTTCTCCAGGGAGAATTTCTTTCTGTGAAGTTCTTCAGTGACCATGTCTACCTTCTGGATCAGCGATTTATTCTCATCTGTAACAATCTCTTTATCCACCTCACAGACACTGAGCAAGCTGTTGGCTGTGTTGTTCAGTAATTCTACCATGCCGAAGTGTTGGTCCATTTCCTTTTGCAGAGACTTTAACCTGGCGATAGAGTTCTCTGTTTCGGCGGGATCCAAGCAAAACCGTACTTCCTCCAGGTTGTGCTGACATCTGTCTATCCACGGCCGGACAGTCTCCACGTGCTCTCTATACCTAACGGCCTTCTCCAGAGACTCATGTAACTTGTCTTCTCTTTCTTTCACCTGCTTTTTAAATCCATCCCAGTTGGTTTTAATAGTGTTAAGCTGTAACTGTAAGGCTGCCTTCTCAGACCCTTGTGTTTTCAATAGCAGATTTTCACCTTCTGCAATGGTTTTTTCATAAGTAGTAGACTGGGCAGCCAGAGTCTCGCTGAAGTCTTTCTGATCTTTAATTAATGACTCCAAGACATCGAGTTTGGCTGATATTGGGTGAGACTTCTCTTGCTCTTCTTTCTTTGTATCCAACCAGGCCTGAAAATCTCTAGACATTTGCTGAAATTGATGAGAGCTTGCACAAGCTGACTGAAGGTGCTGTACGTGATTCTCTGAAAGCGAAAATACAGACATGCATGTTTTACCTCAACATGTTAATTTAATCCATAAAAAGACAATAAAAAAATCTCAAATGAGGTTTGTCTTAGAATGTGTATGGAATATTGGAAATCAAGGGCTCTCAGACTGGCTACAAGGACTGCAAGGTAACTTAAGTCACTGACAGAGGGAAAAGAAGCAAGAGGTAAGTGTAGTAGAAAGAAAAGAGACCATGGAGGTAAGAAGCAGAAGACAGAGGCGAAAACACGAAGACTGTAGGTACAGGTGAAAGTGCACCAAGGAGCAGGGCATGCATACGCGCGCACACACACACACACACACACACACACACACACACACGTGCGCACTCACACACAGGCTGCTGCTCTGCTCCCCGTGGTGGTGTGGGGAAGAGGCACCTGCGATGCTTAGGCTATGTTGATAAGTGACCCATCTCTTGTCAAACACAACTTTTTCGCCTCTATAACCTTTACGTATCATGGAGGTTTAACTGTTTCCCCAAGGTCTTTCAGCTCTGAAGAGGTTAAGCCAGGATCTCAACCTGTTTCTATATGCTAACAGTGTGCCCACCTCCCTGTCAAACAAAGAAGTCTAAACTGGCCACGGTGGTCAATAAACAAATCCAATCAAGTAAAAAACGTAAGGTGGTTATTCACTGGGTGCAAGGGCTAGAAATGTGTGTTCCTTTCCAAGCAGAACAAACATGGGAAAACACGGCCTTCCTTGGCAAGACCCTCTTCACTATGCTGCTTCTGATAAACACCGACATGTCTGTCGCAGTATTGTGGTAGCAGGTTAGAGATAAAAAGAGGCAGAGAGAGAGCTTCTGGGCATGGTGGCTGAAGTCTCAGCACTTGGGAGACTGAGGCAGGATAGTCATGAGTTCAAGGTCAGCTTGGGTACATAGTAAGACCCTATTGGCCAAAAACCAGAGAGAGAGAAAACCTCACACATCTCTGTAGAAAATTTTTCTATGACAGAATAAAATAAAAAGTAATAGTAGATGGGAAAATAATATAAAGCCATTTTAATAACTTCATCTATTTTTCTGATGAGATATGACAATGTCACATAGCAAAAATGTTTTCATATTTTAATAACCAATTTGGAATGCCCCAAAATTTCAATGGGCCTTCATTAAGTGGACTTTCCCAACAGAGCCTCTCTCTCTGATCTGTGCAGAACTACCCTGGCCCTGTATATGCACAGGTGTACAGGCCTGCAATCTGCACTCCTTTTGTTTATGTGCTCAGTGGGGCAGGGTCTCCTTAGGGTCCTGGATTATTGGGAACAGCAACATATGGTGTCTACTTCTGACCAGGAAATATACGTGCAAAGAGAAGATGGACAAACCTGCTTTCTGTTCGATGTCCTTAAATGACTTTACGACGCCCTCCAGTTGTCTACTAAGCTCTGCTTTCAAGTACTCTTCTTTAACTAGTGCTGACAGGTCCTCACAGAGTGCCTGGGCCGCGTTTATCTGCTTTGTTTCCTGCTCTACTTCCCGCTGCAGTTTTTGGGCTGTTTCCAACTGCTGGTTCATCGCACCAGGGAGGGTGCCCATGGCCAGGTTGCTGGTGAGTTTATTATCCAGCTCCCTCAGCCTGTCGGAAAGGTTTCTCAGGAGGCTCTGATACTGTGTGCTCTTGACGATGGCTTGGTCAATCCAGTCACATCTGTCACCCAACTGTCCCGTTAGGCCGTCCCACTTTTGGGTCACAGCTGCCAGCTGCTCTTTCACAGTCTCTTGCAGAGACTGGTCTTCTCCTGGTCTGCTCAGAATGCCCTGGCCAGCTGCTGCTAGCTGTTCATACTGGGGTTTCCGGGTAGCGAATTCTTGCAGCAGGATCTAAGGGCCCAGAGTAAACAAGACAGTTGATGTGCAGCTCGTGAAGCCTCCAAAGAGACAGAAACGCCTCTTGTTTACCGAGGGTTTGTTTCAGTTAACGCTTTCCGCGTCTTAACTTTGAGGACAGCATAATTATCTTAGTAAACGAGTTCAAAGAGCCATGGTGTTTCAGATGTCATCCTGACCCAAACAATCACACCCTCCAGCCACAGGGGCGGAGGAGTAAATAGCAGCCCAGCAGAAATGAATGCAAGTTCACGTACAGATTTCCATACACGTGGAGGAAGACTGCCTCTGGCCAAGTTCACATCCCACTAACACTATGCTTTTCTCTGCAGGATTTGAGAAGTACTCCATAGTGTTGTGCTATGAAAATGCACAGCAGTAGCAGTGCTAGAAAATATTGTGTTCATGTTCTGTTAGTTTCTCTAGTATAAAAACTTTAGCCAGGAAGTCGTGCTGCTCAGAACATACAGGCGTAACATGACTCCCATTGCAAGATGAATGACCTCAAAATTTCTTCCTTTAGTACATTTTATCTTTTTATGATTTCACTGATCTTATGTTTATCTACCCATCTCTAAGACCAGAGGCAAATATTTTGCTCTAGATACTGTTTTTTTTTTAATTGTTTTTATTCTCTTTAGATTAGGAACAGACATGAACGATAACATGTAATTCCAACTACTGTGACTTATCTGTATTTTCAGGGAAAGAACCTTCTCCCTGCTATTCATAACTAAAGAAACCAAATTGGAAACCACAACGGAGCTTCTGCTATTACATCGGACTTAAGTTCATGGATTCTTTCCCTAGCAGATAATCTGCTTTTCCATTAGACTTCTGTGAAGTTCCCCCGTTCTTTGTCCGTTTCCTCTTCTGTCTCTAGATTTCACCTTGTCAGTTTTATATATATTTCATTATCTACTACAAAATGAGTAAAACCTCAAAGGGGAACTTTGTAAAACAACAGGAGTATATAAAAGCTTCTCATAAACGTTAAGCCTTTTTTTGCTTTTTGGTTTTTTGGTTTTTTTTTTCCAGCAGGATCTACACCAATCACAATCTGAAATATCGTGGGACTGTCCCACTCCTGGGGTCAAGGAGACTGTACTGGGATACCTCACAGCTGCAGTTCTCTCAAATTCACTTTAAGAGATTTCCAGTAATCTCAGGATGGTATCTTAGGAACACCTGAAACATGGCAGCTATCCTTCAACATGGTGAAAGCCACAGCTACCGTACTCTCAGTGGAAGCATTTGCCTTGAAAGTCAAGGTGCTGCCCAGAGCGGCTATTAGGCACAGCTCACCTGCACCTGCTGCCTCTGGGCGTTCAGCATATTTGGGTCCGCTGACAGGGGCCCAAGAACACTGACCATCAGTTCCTTTTCCACAAGCCACTGTTTTAATTGGGCCTCCACTGTCTGGAATTGGGTAAGGTTATTGGAGGATTCTTCCAGCTTTTGTTGTCTGTCAACTGTTAACTGGTTGAGCTCTTGCCACTTAGAGTCTAAAGAAAAAAGGGTGAAACCGGGACTTGGTTATTATACATTTAATGTGACTACATGAAAAGAAAAACAAATGTGAACTTGATTTTAGAAGATGCTGTAGAATATGAAATATTCCTGAAAGCAAACAGGATCCTGAGAACTTTCATTCCTTCTAAATATCCTATTTAGACTGTTTACCCAACTGCTGGACCACAGAACAGAAACCCTTTTCTTTTATGTCAAATCTTCAACTATTGCAGGGCAAGTGGCTTCCAAATGTGAGTGTCTGTTCCCAGTCATTCTCTCCCATTCAAAGCACACATTAGCAACCAGCTGCTGGAAAGTCACAGTTGGAAATCTCACCAACAGTAAAAAATAAAGTCCATTATCATCCTCTCAAAACTGTTTTTCCCTGTGTTTTAGATTTCTTTCAAAGGTTAAATTCTCTCCCAGGTCACTGAGATGCAATGTTTCTAAATGATTCTGAATTCTTTATGACTCTCTGAGTTCTTCTGCGCCCCCCCCAACATAAGACCATAAACCCTCCTTCACATTCCCAGTGCTGTTCCTCACCTTGACCTTCATCTCCTGATGCTTACTTAGACCACTGGCTGTCAAACAACAGTTGCAATGGAAGCACCTGGTGGGCTGGTAACCCAGGCTGCAGACCTGCCCTCCGGGTTTCTGATACAGGAGGACCGCAGTGGGGTCTGAGAGTCTGTCTACCTTTGTGACAAGTCCCCAGGTTATGCTGATATGAGTCTGATGCTACTGGCCCCAGGAGCACACTGTCAGCACTATGGAGCAGCCTACCAGTCTTCTACAGCTTACACTGCCCCTGTTAGTGCTCTCAGCTGCAATACATTTGCTTCTAAAATAAAAAGAGCATTTTTAACGAGCCAGCATGGTGGCAGTACACACCTGCAATTCCAGCACTTGGGAGGCTGAGGCAGGAGGATTACAAGTTTGAGGCCACGTTGGGCTACACAGCAAGACCCTATCGCAAAAAAAATTTGTTTTCAAAAACATGTCACCACCTAGACATAAGATTTGAAGGAGTTTGCCTCATGTCTGACCCTGTCTCCTGATTTGGGATTTGTGCTGAGAATTCTCTAACCCAGCAGGTTAGACAATCTCAGCAGGTAGCATGCTCCCTGGGTCAAGTGGACTTAACAGAGCACTCAGTCCAGCCCCGGACACACTCACACACGCTCCATAAACACTCAATGTTGGGTGTGGTTAATTGATTTGAGATTTTTTTCTCTAAGCATAATATAGCAAAGGGATGATTTTAATAGAATGCAATCCTTGGATCTTTATCTATGACATCATTTTATACAACATGTTCTAGTCAGACACAGTCTGACAACAAAATAATGCAATTAAAGTCGTCAGGGTGGAGAAACATCAGAATCACCAGGAAATTCTTTTTGAAACACACATCCCTCTCTCCCACCCCTATTCTCCAATGTCTTTTGGTTTTGTTTGTTTGTTTTATTGGGTTTCCATGGTGTCTTGATGGTCCTCTATGCTCAAGGCCTTCTGATATCCCAGGGACAGCCGCTGAATTAGGGGCAAACACATAGAACAGGAGTCTCTGTCGATGGATTAAATATACCTCTGAATGGTAAGAACACTAGGGTAACCACTATTCCAAACAAAAATACACCTACAGGATCCCTAAACTTCTCACGCTCAGCTGACGCTAAAGGAAGGGCAATGTTTAGTAAATGTCATGTACAAATGAAAGTACAACAGTTGCAATGGTTGACAGTATATACTGTGTGGCAGCACAGTTCCTCTGAGCTATAGACACTAACTTACTGAACCTCCAAACTATACTACGAAGTAGGGAATGTTATGGTCCTACATTCATTTCCACATCATTATAATAAAAACTGGTAAGACAAAAGGCTTGTGAAAAATATTCTGTACCTAGGAGGAGCAGCTGACACAGGGTTAGGAGGGGGTGGTCAGGGAGGGTGAATCTGGGTAAAGTCTCCTGTGATGAACCACTTTTTAATACCATGGCGGGGAGAGAAGCAGAGCAGCACATGGGGGTTGGAGGAGTCCCAGACGTGACCTCATGAAGGAAAAGAGACCCCACCTTCTCCAAACGAATGACAAAAGGAATATTATGCATAACATGCTAATTTGCATAAATGTGATAACAAAGTTTAAAATGCTAATAAAGCAGAAAGGTAGTAAAAAGAAAATAATCCCGAATGAAACCAAAGTTACTCCATGCATTGCATCTTACTAACAAGTCCCCACATTCATTAAAATAGTTCCATGGCGATTCTCAGAGCAATACAATTTGAAATGACCCTTGTACAGATGCAAAACCAGATTCTGAAACACTGAAAAAAATCCAAAAGCAAATGAAGCTATTAGATGTTTTCTGGTAAACACTATGATAATAATGAAAAAGCCACTGGGGTTCTGTTCATGGATTTTGGTGAAAGTCACACAACCTACCTATTTCTGTCAACATCTGCCTCCATTTGGGGGCTTCCGTCGTGTCTGGGTTCTCCTCCAACAGCTCTGTCAATTTGTCTTTCAACTCCTGTACTTTGTTGATATTTTGCTTCAGTTCTGCCTCAAATGACTAACAAGGGGGAAAAAAAGCAACTACATTAAAGTATGCCAACACTGAGAGACAAAACACAATTATGACAGAACGTGTTTTCCCCTAACATGACCAAAAGAGGAAAAAATCTGGTAGTAGATGCTAGAGGGGTGAGGACTGGTTTATACAGAGAATTATTTTCCTTTTCCCCTCTTTGTGCATCTTCAACCCTGGGAGGAAGGAATCCCACAGAGGAACGCTGTTAACTATGAAGAGAATAACGTCTGCATTACTGAGGAAGAGTTTCATATGCTCAAACAAACCACTACGGAAAATACAAGATGACATCAGTAAAATTATAATAAATAAGAATATCAGCCTTGATAAAGGCTGCCAGAATTTGAGACTCTCCTGGGGCAGTGAGCACATTTTTGGATAATACCATATAGAGTTCAAATATAGGTTAGTAATTTGTGTAAACTTTACCATCAATGCCATCACAGAAAGCCATGTTCCCAATCTTGATGGATATAGAAAGAAACACCATCCATCAGAAAGGAAAAGCACTAGCTACCCTTCCCTTTATACAGACAGAACAGAACAGATCCCTAAACACTTAAGCATTAACTACATCTTTTCCACAGATGACTGGTTTAAACAGATTTAAAGGTGACAAAGGTACACCCAACAGTTTGCTTCTTTTTTAATGTCACAGCACAGAAAAGTTGACTATTATCATCAATCTGTCCAGAAAGGCACAATAAACAAAACAGTCAAATTATTTGCTGAAGATTACAGAAAACAGAAGGGAACGCCTCTGACCACCAGGGCTCAGTTCCTACTGCTAACCCCTTCCTTTATCTGTCTTGCACATCTGCACCCACAGAACCACCTTATTCTGCTCAACTTGAGTCTTCACAGCTGCAGTATCTGTAGGTGTTGGGGTCTGATGCCATTTTGTTGCCGTCTTGGTCATTTTCTCTAACCACTGCATCATTGCACTTGATTCTTCCTGAGCCTTTTGCAATTTGGAGAGTTTGTTATTCAGTTCTGCTATCTTGTCTTTGAGTAAGAGGCCAAGATCTTCGTAACCATGACTTATGTCAGTCATGTCCTTTTTGATGGATGTCAAAGCTAGGAAGAAGAAAAATCGACACTGACACATGTTCAGGGCACCTGGAATAGAGGTCTAGAAATACAAGTTTGTTTTACAAGGCATCCCCTTCTATTATTCCACTATGATAAACCATAGACGTCTTAGAACTAAAAGGTTACATCGCCTTATAATGCTAGTTAATGACAAACAATTCAGGAACACTACATAATACAAGTGAAATTAAAAGGCATTTTTAATGGAATAAAAATTCAAACCATAAAATATATTCTTTAGGCACCAAACTCAGTAAATTAGCTCAAATAATGTTTTCCCAAGAGTTGAAATACTTCAGATTATGAGGTGAAACCAAGTGCAAAACAAAATGCTGAATTTAAGATGAGCAATGATTACAGAACATTGTATAAATATATTTACGGAGATTGCAACTGCCATTTTACTTTGCTTGAAATTTTAATATAACTACTGTTATCCTCTAAGAGGATTTTTCTCTCAAAATTACCAAAATTACTCAAAATTACATTAATAAATAACTGTTTAAAATTATTCACCTTTATTTGCCAAAAACTCTTGAGTGTTTGTGTCTGTTCCGTCACCATTTAGTATCACTCCACCTATAAAAGTATGAATATTGACGTCATCATAGACTTCCCCAGTGGTTCTACACACAAATAGTAATCATTTAAAAATGCAACTGCTATTTGAAAATGTCAAATAGTGATTCAACTTCAAAACCAAGTGCGCATGCGAAGTTTAAATACCAAACTCTATCCTCTCCTATGTTTCTTTTTTGGTGCTGAGGATCCAAGCGCTCTACCATTGAGCTACATCCCCGGTCCGAGATAAGTCGTCCTTAAAGCAGTGACACAATCACCTCAACCGCTGGCGTTCCAGTCAAGTTACGGTACATAAAATAATCACTAAATGTTAATGCATAAAGATGATAAAGCTGTTTTACTGTTAAGGTTATCAGAATGATACCATCACTGAGGTTCAGAAGGGGCTTAGTATGTAAAGTTTGCTAAACAGTTGACGAAAGCACATTGGCCTTACTTAAAGAGGGAAAATTATCTGGTGCAGTCATACAGGGTTATCATGAGCTTAACTGAGAATGATTTAAACAGACATGAAAGAAAAGTGAAAACAAAACAAACCCTATGACTAAACCCACATTATGTCAACACAGAGGTTACAGGTGGGTGGAGTGCCTGGACTTAATTCCCACCCCACTAATGACTGACTGTGTGATTGGACAAACTGAATGACCAAACTGATGGGGGTCATAAACTTGATTTGTAAGACCACCAGGGGAAGTACAGTCAGTTAACACACTGCCCAGAAGCAACTGTCATTTTTCTTTAATTATCTAACTGTCGAGTATTGGTGCCTTTCTCATAATCAGAAAGTTAAAAATTCAGTTAGACTTTCTCAAACTAGCATCCACAGGCTACCTATCCAGAACACAAAGACATTTCTTAAATCAACCACACAAGATCAAGTCTAAACAAAATAGAAAACGAATCATATAAACATCTGAATCTTAAATTTTGTCCCTTCAAAAAAAAGAAAACTCACACACAAGAGGCATTTCAGATGCAAATGAAAATACCCTGCAAATGTGACTCAACACTGGCTGGTAGCTACCAAGAGACAAACAAACATGTAGTATTTATTACAAATATAAAGGGGTCATGAGGAACTAAAATATATAAAATAATAGAATTCCATTTCTTAAAAATAAAAAAAAAACCTGACATCTCAGGAAATTAGATTAGAAGAGGAAGGAGAGGTCATTACAGCATATAACATGGGTGTCCCCAAAATGGGATTAACAGACTGGAAGAAATGGTTGTGAGAAAAGCCCAGCTGGAACGTGGGTCTCACAATAGGGGCAGCTGGAGACCTGGTCAGACTAGATAACTCTCAGAACCAAGATGTGCGATCTGCCTTCTGTCTATTCTTGTATTAAAAAAAAAAAATCTTGCTACTGTATGTTTTCACCTAAACATTACGCCCATGACTTAGTTTAGAGTCAACATTCACACAGGACTCCCCTGTGGCTGAGAAGTGTGGCTCAGCCATGACTTGGGGTGTGATGCAGGTTTGTGAACTAACATGCTGCACAATGGTTTCCTTGGGAAAAATGCACAGAATATATAAGACAGGTCCACTCTACAGGGAAGAGCCTATCTCCCTCCCTCACGTCTTTCCAGGGTACTAGGCTCGTTTCTTTATCAAGTATTACAGTGAGAACAGAAGTACTTCAAACAGAATTTCAGTATCTCCATTTAATTAAGAGGCAAAAAAGTTGGAATCTAATCTGTTCCGTTTCCCAGTGTCACATCCCTTATTCTTACATACTAATTTGGATACATTTTGTTTGTGGTATTTAATGACAATGAAACACTAGAGGGATCTGACACTAGATTAGTAAAGATGCTTTTTCTGTGATAGATTTTAGTGTGCTTATGAGGGCCATCTTTCTTGTCACTTTACTTTTGCATTTCTTAGGTTATTTTATCTGCTAGCCTAAACCCATATATACAAAGTTAACAAAAGCAGAGCCAGTTCTCACAGTTATGTCATGTACATAAAGCACATACCTGATTTAGCTGCTGCTATTGCCTTTGCAGGGGTAGTCACAGCACTCACTAGGTTACATAGTGAGATCCCACTGTTGTTGACTTTCTGAATCTCTGGTGCTTTTATACTCCACTGTTCTTGTAATTTCTTGAGATATAAAAACACATTATTTTTCAGCCTTCTTAATACCTTCAAAGTTGCACATTACAATATAATTTTTACACATATATTGAAGCAATAATGACTGACTGTGGACCCTGATTTGTGGAGGAGTAGGTGGAAGAAAGAGGTACCATTCCTGTCTGGTCCCACAGTCCAGGTGACTGACTGTTAACACTGTTAGCAGGGAGCTGTGGCCCATTCTGTATTCTGCTCCCAGGCTGGGTGGAAGTCAGGCTGGACCCTGCTGCCTTGGGTTCCAAAGCAACTGTCAACTGTAAGCCTGTAGGAGCATACCAGGCAATGGCCATGCACAGGATGAGATGTACCAGAAACAAAATTAAATATGTGGGAACTCAGAATTCTATTTCACAGCGAGTTTAATCATGAAAACTTCAATGGATTTTAAAAAAACAGACACTTCCACACGTTTGGAGAATAAAAATTGCCATAACTGGCCATAGTTTCTGACTTGAGTCAGATGACAGAGGACCTGTGCACTGCTTGTGTAGGACACACAACTTTATCTTCAAGTACTGGCTACAGTGATATTTGCAAGCTAGAGTCCAATTCTGAAGTGAAGAGACAGATCTTTAACTTACTACTCTAAGGAATGGTGTCAAAAATAACTGAAACTAAGTAGAGATCTCAACTCAATTAACACATTAAAAAAAATTAACTGAAAGTTTACATCCCTCCTCAAAGGATTCATTTACCCCATGTCATGATTTTCAAAAGCCATCAAAACCTCCACTATATGAAGATCCATCTTACATGATTTTAGATAAAAAGGAACTACTTTTTACTACAAATACTGGCAAATAAAAATTAGTGTTAGACAGAATGAGTCACCTTAGTTTCTTCCAAAGATTTTCCTAAGTCCTCTGCCCCAAAAGATGGCTGTACAATGGGGACTTGCTCTGTTGTTTCTTTTATCCATGACTTCAATGATTTAACAAGGACTTGGAAGGCATCCAGCTGTTCTTGACAAGAAGTTATAGCTTCTTTCCTAGTTAACAAAAATCAGACCAGGATTTCAGCTACAAAAGGAGATGTTGTAAAAAGCTAATTACTAAGCAATTATTATTACCATATTGGGCTTACTACTAACAAACACCTTGCATGCACAATCTAAGCCTTTGACAATGGAGGAAAGGGTTCTTAGGTGGCAAGGGAAAGTAGCTAAATGACTATTTGTCTCTTTCTCAGGCACAGTTCACAGATGGAGAAGCCTGCAGCCCATGGGTACTGGCATTCCCTAACACTACATAAACTCTACTGCTACAGAAACAGTTTTAGTGTTGTTTGGATTCAATGAGCTTTGCTCTGTCCATTCTATATGATGCTTAACTCAAGCAGGCAAAACCAGAGGGGAAACTTTTACACACAACCTACAAGAGAAAAGCAGCAAGCTGCCTAGTGGTTTCTACACAACACTGCAGTCACACTGAGGGACATTTGGTAAAACTCAGTGCTTTGGGAGATGATATTTAAGTCTCTCAAAATGAGATGAAACCTGGTGACTGGAGTTTTAATGAATGCTCCCCTATACAGACTGAGGGAGCTCCATGGGGAGCTCTGTGGATCTTTCTGTCCGCTCAACACCATGGAAGGAGCGTGGGAACCCAGCTTGTGACTGTGAGGACTGCTGCATCTAGCATGTGGATGACACATGCACACGTGTGAGTGTCTGCAATGCTGGCAGATAAGAATGTGTGCAGCTGGACTGACGATGACTACATGGCTTTAAAGTTGGACCCATTTGAAAGAAAACATAGCCTAGAATCACCTAAGAGAACCATGAGCGTTTCCTGTGTGCAGTAAGAATTAAATATTATAGGACCTGGCGGGAAATACAGCTCTGTGGGCAGTACCAACAACACCTAAAAGTTTTACAAAGAGAGTTCTGAAGAAATAAAGAAAAGTAACTGAAAAAGAATGACTAGTTTCTATCTTTTTGGGTGTTCCACATAAGCTCTTCCAAGATCGGATGTATATTCTAAACATAAGATCAGAAACGCAAGCAACTCAGCCACAGGCTTATCCCTGTACTGCATTTTAGTTCAAGTTAGGGTCACTATCTTGTTTTTTTCTTGGACTCATGGCTTGTCTACTCTTGTTTTATTTTGGGTAGTACTGGGGTTTGAACTCAGGACCTTGAGCTTCCAAGGCCAGGGCTCTGCCACTTGAGCCACTCTACTACCCCAACTCATATTCTTTAAAAAGTAAACAAATATATTTAAAAGCCATTAAGAACTATTGAAATTATGCTTAGCTTCTGAATAGAGCCCAGAATGCAAAGAACTCCAAGCTATCTCTCAAGGTTATTTCTGTCTCTGCAAATAAAAATGTGATCTTTGCCAAAGACTTCAGAGACTATAGTGCATTTAAATCATTTTCAGGAATACACAACCCACCACCGCCATTTTTCTTACAGAATGATTTCCACTTTTGTAGAAGCAGCATTGAGGTTTCCTCCTCAGTATTTTAGCAAATAACATGCAATTTTAATAGCAAAAAATATCAAAATATAAAAAATATGTAAGTAGCCCTGTATTTGTTTTCCAGTCTTTGAAATTGTTTCAGTTACCTACACAAGGAAATAAAAGCAACTCATCTAATTAGTGTCAGTGTAATAAAATACAATTTTAAGTGGTGCTTACTTTTCTTTGATGGTATCCTCCATTTCTTTGAATTTCTTTGACAAGTTGTTTGTCTTTTCAAAAACCAGAGCCTTATCACCTGGTAAGCCATGGCTGGATATCTCCTTCAGGAGACTATGCAAAGCTTCAAGGTCCTTCTTGTGTTCTATGAACTCAGAAGTTGATTCCTGGGAAGCATTTAGATATTTACTCAACATGAGATGTTGTCAAGCCGGGCGCCAGTGGTTCACACCAGTAATCCTAGCTATTCAGGAGGCAGAGATCAGGATTGTGGTTTAAAACTAGCTGGGGCAAATAGTTCTTGAGACCCTATCTTGAAAAAAACCCAACACAAAACAGGACTGGTGGAGTGGCTCAAGCAGGAGAGCGCCTGCTTAGCAAGAGAGAGGCCTTGAGTTCAAACCCTAATATCTTAAAAAAAAAAAAAGAAGAAGATAGATGCTGCCAGATCTTCAAAATGGCTTTCCACCCTGAGGTATGTGTGAGAACAGAAAGGCTCTATTTAGAATTTCACAAAAGAATGGATTACCTATGATTACCACTCTAAATACCGTAAATACGCAAGTAGGCTGCTTGAAAGAGAACACAGCAAACTTTAAATTTTAAAATGTGCTCTCTGTTCTCTCACTGAAGTTTCTGGCATGTAAGGTGACAGGCATGATGAATGGTACTGTGCTGAACAGGCAAAGGTTCAAGGAGAAGACAGGGTTTGAGACTTTTTTTTTCAGTACCGGGAATTGAACCGAGGGCTTCATACTTGATAGGCAAGCACGCTACTACTTGTTATCCTTTTGTTTTTATTCTGTTTTTGAGATAGTGTTTCATCAACTTTGCCTAGGCTGGCCTTGAACTCAAGATCCTCCTGCCTCCTCCTCCTACATAGCTGGGATTACTGGAGAGCACCACCACACCCTGGTGGGGGTTGAGATTTTTAAAGGAGGCAAATGTAAATTCTTATCAATACATAAACAGTTAAAGTGACACGTGTTACTTATAATCCTGCCAGTAAATGCATGATCTTGTCTCCTTGTCAATCTACTCGCTCAGCCCTATTTCAAGATTAAGATTCAGGGACTCACCTCCAAATGCCGAAACAGTTCGGTAACATCTTTCCCTGGCATGTCTACCTCAGTCACAGCCTGAGTTTTTGTTTCTAAAAACGTCTGGAGTTTTTCTGAGAGCTTCTCAAACAGTTCAACTTTGGTTTTTAGCTCCTCCATTTTGGCAAGTTTTTCTTTGTGTTTGTGACTGGCTTCTGAAAACCGGACGGACAGGTCTTTCATTTTCGCCTCCAGCGAGGAAGCAGTGGATGGATCCGTTGTCTCCATAAATGTCCTCACCTTTTCATTCATGGCATTTACACTGCTCTGACGCCCTGCGATATCCTGTTCCAACATCTGAAATAAGCCAAATATTGCACGCATTTAATAGCAATGTTTACAGCAATGCCACCGAGTTGTTTTTAATCACTATTCCTAACAATATAAGCTTGTTGGAACTGAATGACACGCCTGATTTGTCCCTGGAGGAATCCCACCCCAAATCTTTTTTCAAGGGCTTTGGAGACCAGCCAGACGCTTACTTCAAAGAGGCAGGGGCTGCAGCCACTCAGCCACCCCTGGGATCCAGTGGAGCCGGGGATTAGCCATGGTTCTAATTTTTGAAAAGCTAGACAACAGCAGGACAGATCTGTCAGGCCTTATGTGCAACTGACTGAACCAATGATAACCAAGGGAGGGCTCAATGTATGCAGAAGCCCTCTATAAGCAATAATATTCATGAAAAACATGAAAAGCCCTTTCACGGAAAAATCATTTGCACAGCTAAGTTTGTGCAATACAACTTTTCACATGGTTATGTCCAGGAAATATCTCTTTTTCCATATCTTTAAATTTATTTAGTGCTGCCTACCCTTGGTGATACGTAACTGTTTCAACTGTAAGTGGAAATATTTTTTCTTTTTAAATAAAATGTCACTCACAATGTTTTTGCTGATGAGATCCTGAAGAGCTGCAGAGTTTAAGGGCATTTGGCCTTGTTCTTTCAGGGAACTTTCCACACTTCCCATCCAGTCCAGCATCTCATCCAGGCCATCCTGCACACTCAGAGAGCGAGTCAGGGTCATCTGGAGCTTTTCGTTCCGTTGGTTGACAGACTTGGAAAGATCTCGTATCTCCCGACGATGTCATCTAGTTCAAACAAGCAGACAATGTCAGCACAAGTTCTCTTTGCCCCATTTCTTTTCAAAACATACCAGGGTGGACAGTAAAGCTTCCATACAAGAACTAAAAAAAAGAGAAAAGGATGTTTAGATGATAAATTCACAATGCGTGATCAGATCACCACCTAAAACCTTAGAAAATAAAGAAAGAAGCTACTGGAAAACAAAAAGTGGACATTTTGAAAAAGAAGTTAATATTCCTATCATCTGCATTTGGAAAGACAGTTTTAGATGCGTAAACATTTGAGTTGTTCCAGAGATGAAAGACTGGTCCAAATAGCAAATGGCTAAACTATATACTGGGACTCAATCTGATATTCTGAATTAGGATGCTTATTGATAACTAACTGTAGGGGGAAAGTGAGTCATATACATATTTCCAAGAGACAATGCATAGTTAAATAGATTTATCAGCAAGTGACCTCTCTATATAAAAATAATCCCTCTCCCTCTCAGTCACTCTGTTATATCCATGGGCTAAGCTTTCGTCATCCTTCATAACCAAAGAAAGCTCTCAAATACAGAAACCGAAAGGCGCAAATGAATTAAGAAAATAGGTGCCAGGCAAGATGACTCATACCTAATTCCAGCTACTTGGGAGGTGGAGACTAAGAGGACTGAGGTTTGAGGCCAGTCCAGACAAAGTTAGAGAGACTCCCATCTCAATCAGTATGCCGGATGTGATGGTACAAGACTGTAAACCCAACTATGGGGGAGGTCACAGTCTGAGGTCAGCCCTGGGCAAAACCAGGAGACTCTACCTGAAAAATAACTAAAGCAAAAAAAAAAAAAAAGGCTTGGGGGTATGGCTCAAGTGGCAGAGTGCCTGTCTGACAAGTACAAGGCCAAGTTCAAACCTCAGTACTGCAGACAAACAAAAAATGTATTTTTTGATTGTTGTAAAAACTACATCCCAAGAAAGTAGCTTGACAAACTACTGAGAGGTTTACATTTCAATGAAGAGATAGCCGTGTCCCTGTGACTAAAGCCCAAGGAAGCCCAGGAGAAAACTGGGTGAACACTGAGATGGCACTGAATGAACACAGACTGGCAGGTTCCAGTCTGAGCCCTGTTGAAAGTCTCAAGAGTGGTCACTCTGACTTGCAGCCTGATTGGCACATGAGCCGCTGAACTGGCCAGCACCGAGCCTCAGCAGGATAGGTGACATCAGTGGTCTGTCCAGCCATGACACATGACTTCCCAAGCAAAGTTAGGTACTTTCATATAATTCACACTGCAAGTGCTACTTCTGGCTATGGACTGATGTCTGTGTCCTCCCAAATGCAGATGCTGAAGCCTAACCCAAAATGTGACAGTATTTGTGACTTAATAGGCAATACACACTTGGTCTCTGACCAAGGGTTCCTAACATAGAGCTCTTAAATGTCCTAGTAATTTCCTGACCAATAAGAAGCACTAGAAGAATCTTTGTTCTGCTATTTGATCTTGGACTCCAGTTCCTGACACACAGCTCCTCAGACCTTTGCCATTTCCTGGGTGATGGGAGCATCTTTTGCTCGTATCAGGTGAGGTGACTCTTGACAATTTCCCAGATGGGAGCTGCAGGATGGGTCTGGCTGTCAGAGGAGCTGACGTATTGGAACTTTCAGTCTGCTCTGATCCTCACAAAGGCAGGGGGTTGAAGGTCAAATTGATACTTATTGGTCTGTGATGTAATCAATCACATCTATGTAACACCACCTCCACAAGAACCTGAGAGCACTGAGTTCTGGGAGCTTGAAGGAGCAGAACACAGGGAGGCCCCAGGAGGGCAGTGGGCTCTGAGGCTACAAGGAATCTGTGTCTCTTCTTCCACCTCACCCTGCACCTGTCTTCTATTTGGGAAGACTTTAGTGACTAAAATGGTACAAAACCAAACCTACTATAAGAATCTTATTTTTAAAAAGTAGTTGTTTTCCTTGGAAGTCAGAAAGATCTTAGAAAAACTCCTCTGTATCCTAAATAGAGTCACACATTCCTAGAAAGTGTTGAAAGAAAGAAGCAAAGTCTTAACTAACACATGAAATTTAAACTAGAAATGAGACTATGAACGCTTAACAATGGGCAAAATGCCTCTTCAAATAACCGAAATCCAATGAGGATATTCTTCCTTCTTCAAACCTCTAAGCCAAAGTCCCTGCAGGAGTGCTTTCCAATGTGGATTTACAAGTCGGTGCGCTGGGATACAACATGTGAGAACTCCCATTCAGGCCTCAAATTCTGCATTTTGTGTTTATAATAACAATACACTTGATACAATGATGCACTAAAATGCACATATACAGTGCCAGCTTTATTGAGAGGGGTGCATGATCTGAAATGTTTGAATGTCTGTCTGTAAGAACGGAAAAGAGTTTCCTTCTGCAGCAGGGTAAGGCTCCATTCTTTTACCCAGACTTTATTCATGCTCCATTTGGAGGGAAATGTGTGTCTAATCATCTCCTGTGGAAAATTCTGATTTCACGCACTCACACACAGAAGTATGTAATAACTCCCAGATTCACATGATCACTTCACAGAGCAAGGTAACAGATGATACAAGGTATGCTTAGGAACATTTTCTCTAATCCATTAGAGTGTCTTCATTTAGAATTTATCTGTGAGACAGGAAACAAACGAAAAGAATCTCTCACCCAGTGTTTTCTGGATGTCATTCCTGGCTGGAAGCAAGGATCCTCTGGCATCTAAAAGCACTTCAGCCGTTCTCTTCAGTTTCTCCACAGCCACCTGCTGACTGGATATCTGTCCCTGCAGAGCCTGTGGGATCAAATGCTTTTCAGTTGTTCTCAAGAGGACTACATCATTGATTTTTTTTCCAATATGGAAAAATTATTTATAATAAGACAAAGGTCAATTGGACAGAGTAAGCACTACACACTACAAACTTTCATCATAGTAAATTTTCTCTGGAGTTCTTAGAATAAGGTAGTACTAGACAGAAAGAGGCCACATAAAACAACTTCATAAAACAACTTCAGTCCTAAAATTATTGAGTGTACATTCATAATGATTTTGCTGATTCTTGACCATATAACCCTCTTACTGTAGCCTACATTCTTCCATAAGCCCCACCTGTAGGCTTCAATACCTGTATTACCACCAAACCCAAACCCAAACCCAGACCAAAAAAAAAAAAATCTTTGGGACTCTTTCTTACTTTAGGTAAGGAGGTAATTAAGGACTTTCATGTCAGTAGGTATTGACTTAATATTGAGTCATTTTTTCTGTTAATTCTGTGACTGAATAGCTAAAAATTCAACAAGGCTTGCTACATTCTGTGAAAAATGCAAAAGTAAAACCGATGTGAAGTGGACTCATGGGACTCTTCTGGTCTAAGGCAGGAAATGACGAATGCCCGAAGTGAGAGAGGAAAATGTGACTGAAAGTTGGAAGAAAGAGAAATCAGGGAGGGGAGTGAGGACCACGGCAATGATGATGGCAATGTGAGGAGTCCCAAACAAAGTTGGGAAAATGCAGAAGGGAAGCATCTCCTCACAGAAGAGACAGAAGGCACAAAGATGGGGCAGAAAAATTGCCATAGGCAGGGAAAGTCCCATCCAGTTTGAGAATGTGCACAGCGAATAAATAGAATCAGGGCTGGAAAGGCCTCAAAGGTTGGGTTAAGGGCTGGACATGTAATGTGGTGGCAATGGGGAATTATATAATGTCACAGAGTAATGTGCTGAGTGAGGATCGTCCTACAAGGGCTGTCCTACAGGAAGGCTAAGTTCATAGCAGTGAACAGGAAAAACTCAGTGGGAAAGGGACAGAGCAGAAGTCCCAGGAGGAGGAACTGTAGCAGTGTCAAAGCAGTGAGGACCACTGAGACTGAGGACAGCTCCTCTACCCAGGCCACCTGGACTGGAAAACTAAGTTAGTTATAGGGTTAGGAAGGGTCAGAAGGCCTTGGTCACATCACCTAAAGCTGCACTGCCTGATACGCTTGTCACTACTATATACGATCTTTAAATTGAAGTCAAATAAAATTAAGAACTCAATTCCTCAGTTGCACTGGCCACATTTTACCAGTGTCTAGGGGCCAGCATCCTGGACAGAGCAGGTGACAGTACACATCCATCATCACAGAATGTTCTATGAGCTAGCACCTCTCCAGAGGCCAGGAACAGAGGATGGGAAAGCAGAGACGTAGTCTAAGGTTTGAGTCCAGGTAACTAAGAGAACTTGTGAACACAAGAACAGCAAGTTTTTTAGGTGTTAAAAAACTAGATAGCATTTGTTGCCCTCAACGCAGAGAAACTAAAGCAGATACTTTAAAGCAACTAAGACCAACAGAGAAGGGGACCAGGAATTAGAGAAAAGGTTGGTTCAAGAAGAATTAACCTAGAAGGTAACACACATGCACAGGAAATTAATGTGAGTCAACTCCCTGTATAGCTATCCTTATCTCAACCAGCAAAAACCCTTGTCCCTTCCTATTATTGCTTATACTCTCTCTTCAACAAAATTAGAGATAAGGGCAAAATAGTTTCTGCTGGGTAGTGAGGGGTAAGGGAAGGGGCGGGGGGAAGGGGGGAGAAATGACCCAATCATTGTATGCACATATGAATAAAATAAAAATAAAAAAAAAAAAAGAAAGAAAGAGCAAGTTGAGGAGCAAAGGAGTTGTTTCAGAGCTATGACTTCCAAGTGCCCTGAGGACTTCATTCTTCAGAAAGAAAGAGCAAAGCTGACAACGGGGTGGGGGCGGGGACGACTTGAACGCAAGAATTGGAAGTCAGGGTCCATGAGGAGATGGCTAGAGGACACAACAGAGAATTATGCAGGCTCACAGAGGACACATATGTGACGGGAGGAGAGAAAGAACAAATGTGATCAAAACAGTGGAAATGGACACAAGTAATGCTATAACCAAAGCCTATGGAAATGGTTTACAGTGCCAGCTGGTTCAAAAAGCATAATGAAAACCAAAAGATCAGGAAGCTCTTGGATTTGCTGCAGAGACCCTGGGGGTCCTGAGTGAGCAGGTCCAGATCAACCGTGGGACTGAAGAGAAAAAGAGGTAGGGGCAGGAGCCATAGGTGAGCATCCTGGAAGTCGACCCCGTGTTCCTAACACCCCTGACAGACCTCTACCCAGGTGAGCTGACTGGCTACACCAGCCCTACGCCTGGCTTTGGTTTCACTAAGGTTCCTGAGCCCCCTTCCCAGTGCTGCGTTCAGATTTCAAAGTCCCATACGTGTAACTAGGGATGAACTCATTCCTGGCCACAGGCCCGGGTTTCCAACTGCTTCTTGAATGTTTCCATCTGGTTATAAACAGTGACCTTAAAACTCAAAAAAGCTAACTCTGAATACATCCAATCACTCCCCACACCTGTACTTCCTCCGGTGATGACACTTAGTTTCCCAGGTACTAAACCTGAGCTCCACCTAGCCTTTCTTACTCCTTTTTTCCACATGCAAAAAACATCATGGCCTAACAATTTTACCTGCTTAACATTTTTTTCAAAATCAGACTTCTGTCTGTGCATTTCTGGATGGCCATGGATAATCCTGCACGTGAATTACTGTGAAAAGACTCCTACCTGTGCTTCTGCCTCCAACGGCTTCCCTAATACAATCCTTAATGTGTTTTATCTAAGATACATATCTGACCATATGCCACTCTGTTTAAAATCTTTCAACAACTTCTCTTCATAACAGAAGCTAAGATTCAAGCAACTCTAAAGGATCCAATGAAGTCGGTTCCCTCATTCTATCTTCAAGCTCATCTTTTTCTACTTCCAGTTCCAGAAATGTCCAGCAACAGTGTTCTTAGTTACTTGCTCCTGCTGCACCCAGTGTCTTCCACATCTCTCCACATCAACCTTCCCATGCAGTCTATTCCCGTCCCCCACACCCCAAGCCTGTCCTCCTCAGCCTTCTCATATCCCACCCTTTAAGCTCAGCCAGGACGCCTTCCCTAGCTCTCCCCACAACCTCCTCTCTGGAGGTCTCATGAATACCCCGTGAGTAATATTCCATTTATCTGTCTCTTCTACCACCTGTAACCTTCTTGAGAACTACAAATCCATCCCATTCAGCTTTCTTCTATCCAACCTTTGCCCAGGCTTGTCATATAGCAAGCCTTGATAAAAGTTTCTGGAATAAATAAATAAGTGGAGTGATTAAGTGTAAGACCTAAAAAGGTTCACTTCTGTTTCAGCATTATTTACAATTATTGTTTAAAATAAATGCCTACACTAATGGCAAAAATCTCAAGTGATTTTTAAAACATAATAAATTGAGAACACACAGACAGCCTGCATACAAGTCAAAAGGCCCACCAAGCTAAGGCCATTCTGGAATCTGTGACCCGAATACCAGACTGTGTGATCATTTCGAGGTGCCAAGGAATCCACACCAGAGTGCATGTGTTCGGGAAATTCTCTCAGAGGCTGAGTTACATAAAGTGGAAGAAATCCCTCAAGACACAAACTGTACCCAGAACCAGACTAGGTCCAAGTCATATGGACAACTTATTTCATTACATGGTTACTGAGAAGATGAACTGAAGTGAAGGGCACTCGCCCCACCTTTTTTTCCTTTAGAACATGAGTTCCTAACAGGGGAAGGGCGTCATAAACTCTAGCAATGGGCCAGCACACAAATGTTTACTCAAGCACACGTGAAAGCTGTTATGGTCCTATAAAAACTCCAATACCATACAGGCCCTACCTATTATCTTAAAACTTTGGAATGGATTATAAAAGAAGTATCTTTTCTTTACCTCTTCCCCTTCAAAAATCACAGGTGTTATTCTCTGTAATTACATTTAAAATAGTAAATAGTTTTAATTTGTGTAAGATTATAATTTAATGATAGTGGTGTATAATACTACTTTGGAAGAAAAACTTGCAAATTAAAGTATGCAAATGTGTGCCTGATACTGTCTTGAATGATTTCCAATGAAACTGACAGAGAGTACTCCAAGGCTGTGACCTTGGTTGCCTTGGCTGCACCAGAAAAGGCTGAAACCTACAAAGCTCTGTGCACTTGTCCAGTGCACAGAAGTCTCCTGACTTAACACCACCCAGTGATCAATGCAAGGTGGACATCTTAGGTCAGTGTGACCTGGCCCTGGTTGGCTCCAAACCCAGGCCTTCAGGCTCTCCTTAGTGTCCCCAGCACCTCATCTGAGGCTGAAGTCCTGTTTTACCTAGTGACTTCCCTGGAAGGGAATCTTGAGGAGTGTCACTGTACTCCAGCGGTGTCAAACTACAACATGGCGAACAGTTTTGTGACTAACGATGCTAGTAACAGCACGCTACTGGACAGAAATACCCAAATGACCTAAGGGGACACCCAAAGTAGCCTTTAGTAAACAGCAGCATGTAAGTGGAAGTGAGAACATTAAATGTAGGAAGGACTGATTTTTTTCTGACGGTCTCATGTGCTTATATTATTTTTCAAAGGAAAATAAGTAACTGTCAAGTCCGGTTAGTAAAAAGCTGGGTGTCATGGCACATGCCTGTCATCCCAGCCTCTGTGGAGGCAGGCAGAGGAAGGAGTTACAGGCAAGCCCCAGCAGAGTCAGCAAGACGAAATGCAAAGGGCAGTGCTTAGGGTGCGGCTCAAGTGAGAGCTCTTGCACTGCATGCACAAGGCCCTGGGTCCAATCCCCAGTACAAAAAAGAAAGAAACAAAGAAACCGAGAATACCTAATCCTCATAAAAATTCGTCCTCACTACAGAGCTCACCTGTGAGGAAAAGACTTGCATAGGTCAGAAACAACTTCAGCTCCACATTCACCTTTTTAAAAGCATAGGCTGCGGCTTACGTAGAATTCATTCTCCTTGGAGAGCGGCCTTTTCCTCCTTCTCTGTCTACCGTAGGACTAGAGGAGCCTTCTGCAGTGCTCACGTAAACTTTCCTGTCCTAAAGTCATTCTTTGTGTTTTTTCTTTCTTCTTCTTCTTCCACTCCCTCCCATTACATAAAAATTACTTTTTTACAGGATATAATCATTTACTAATACAGACCTAACCCAAAAGTTGTTATTTCTGATTTTTACACTTCCCTACACTAAAAATACTTAGGTTCCTACTTGAAACCCCTGGCATTTCTTACCAAAATAATGGCCTTCAATGTTATAGTACCTGCTCTGCCCCCACCACACCTGCTGCCCTTGAACACATAATTAAGCGGAATAAAAACTTCTTGAACTTGTGGGAAAGAAAACAAAAACAAACAAACCAAAAACCAGGCCTGAAGATGTGCACCGAAGGAAGGAGGCTGACCCAACCTAGGAGGTGCCTTTGCGGGACCAGAAAGAAGCAGTGCTGCCACTTTCTCTACCTCCTGTCCCTCTTTTCCCTCCTCTGACCCTTTGCGAGCATCCCCTTAAGGACTGCCATATTTGCCTCGTTGTGAGTGAGCCTCCTTCCAGCCAGAAGTCATAGGTCTCAGGTAATACCCCACTGTAAGTTCACCCAGTAGGGCACCTGTGTTCCTTGCTAGTAGCACAGTGATGGTTTTTAACTCCACAACTAACATGCAATGAAACTCAGAAAGACAGAGGCTTAGCTGGCAAGCGTGTGCTAACTTCCCAGCTACGGCAGCAACAAGCCACTGTTACCCAGCTGCTCAACGATGAACCAAAACTGTCAAACTCAAAAGTACTGGTCACACTGAGTAAGAATAAAATATTTCAAAAGAGTTATCTCCCCATATGTTATAATTTTAAATCAGTTTAAACAGTAGAGGAGCTAGAGGAGTGCCTCAAGTGGTAGAGGCCTGCTTAGCAAGCATAAGGCCCTGAGTTCAAACTCCAGAACTGCCAAAAAAAAAAAAAAAAAAAGAATAGAAATGTTCTCTGCCAGTCCGGGTGTGGCTGAGACTTTCACAGTCACACGATTATGACTTGAAGCTTGAATTTCTGAAAGGGCAGGTAGTATTTTGGAGATCTATGCTAGCTAGGTAATAACAGAAGCCTGTATCTCTCTCATTATGAGATATTCAATAGGAACCCTAATCCTGGCTTTTCAAAACACTGACTATTACAGGGACATCCCTTCTTCCTTTCCACCTGTCCATTCAGGAGCAAACACTTACTGAGTACTTACCCTGGGCCAGGTAAGTGCTATAAGTTCTGGGATACAGCAATGAACAAAACAAAGACATTTGCCTTTATGCAGCTTAATTCTAAGGAAGGAGGGGAGAGTGGATAAGGTAAGTAAATATAAGTTAAAAAAAAGTGATCTGGACAGTACTGGGAGTTGGTGGGGGGATGGCATTAGAACATAGGCAACAAGTCGTAATAATAACAGTAACGTCAAACCAGCTAAATAACCAAGGAAAATTAGTAGACTATGGAGAAATAAAGTCAGAACCCTCCCTGGCGGGAGAGGTATACTTTTCTCATCCTTTGTCCCTTGACCCTGGGTACAACATCCCATAAGTATGGGGCAATGGAAGCCTTTCATAAGACTCATGAAGGACTGCTCTCTCTTTTCTCTTTCTCTCCCTTCCTTCTTTCTTACCTTGGCCTCTTCTAACTGCCTTTGCAGATTTTTGGGGTCCACGGCAATAGGTTCGCATAGATGTTTGCTTGCTGTGGCCTCACAGGCCTGGAGCCCAGAAAGAAGCCCACAGGAGGCATCTTCATAGTGCTGGTATTTGTCCACCAGGTCTTTAAGATTATTTCCAAGAACACTGCACTAAAAAGCAAAAGAGCAGGCAAGGGAGATTAAAGCTCACTCTTTTCTTGAGTGTCAGAGAATCCTAGCACCTATGTCACTTGAAAAAAGCAGACTTTAACCAAAGTTATAACTAAAGTTTTCTCTTTTACATGGAAGTCAAAAAGTTACCAGACGAGGAGATGGTTCCAGATTTACATCAAGTCAAAAACATACTTATAAGGAATCATCAGAAGAGGTGGATTTCCTGGGCCCCTTCCCTGAGTTTTACGCGTGGTGCATGAAGACATGTATTTGATGGAAAGATTTGCCAGGCACTTAGTAAATCACTTCCCTGGGAGGACAGATGGTTAGCACGAAGAGGACCAGTGGTGCACATTAAAATGACGCAAAGGGAGGAGTCAAAGTGCTCTGGGGTCACTCCTGCAGGCTGGTACCTCCATGCACACAGTGTTCTCAGGCCCTTGTATTAAAACACGACTCTTCTGTGCCCACAGAAACAAAAGAAGTAAAACAGCCTGCTGGTCATGAAGTATGGGAAATAATACACTGATCGAATATACGTGTAGGACAAGTAGCCTCCGGGTACATGTGAAGAGACCATCTGACAGGAAACTTCAGGTCCCAAATCTCTCTTTTTGCTTAGAGTTAACACAAAATTGCCCCCTAGTGGTCAAACTGGGTATCAGAGACTTGTAGAGCTAAGGTTTCCTGGAAATCTCAGTCAAAACTAGCTTCCTGAATAACTTTTAGGCTCCTGATCGTGAAACGCCCAGTTCAGAAGTAAATCAGATGAAGCTCTATTTTCCCCCGTATCCGGTTTTAGGTTTTGCTTCTGAATTCAAAACATGCGTGAAGAGAACACAGTAGAAACTAATCACAGATGCAACTTCCCCTTAAAAAGTAAAAGTACCTTGGAGTAGAGAGACCTGAACCGATCCGTTGCCTGATCCAACTTGCTCTGGACTTCCCTGTGTGTCGTGGAAGTGTCGATGTGACCCTGGTCACCCTTGCCGACGGCTCTCGTGCTGCAGGATTTGGCAGCTTCTAGCACCCTGTTTGCTGACATCGTGATGTACCTCAAGTCACCTTTGTGAGAGATCACGTCTTCTGAGAAGCTCTTGTGCCTCTTCAACTTGGTCGCTAATCCACCGAAGTCGTCAGCACCCGCCTCCAGGTTTTCCAGCTCTTGCTCTGACTGCTGCAACCAGTGCTGGAACTCACCGTAGTCAGCATCAAACTTCTCCAGCTCCTCCCGCAGGGAGCGCGTTAACCTCATCTTCTTCTCCGCCTCGGCCAGCGCGGTCTCGTAATGCGCCTTCAGCTCCTTCATGTTCCTCTGCAGTTTCTCCTTTTCCTCCGGGGCCAGGTAATGGCCCTGCTTCTCCAGCAGCGCCCGTGCAGACTGCGTGGCCACGATGACCGCCTGGTGCTGGGAGGTGAGCTTCTCGTGCTGGGCCTGCGTGGAAACAAACCGGCCATAGCTGAAAGCTGGCCCGTCTCCCGTGTCTCAGGACCACCGGGCCTCAAGGAGCCACGGCAGGTCCGCTGCATTCCCACCCCTTGCAACCTGTACAAAGCTCCCCTCTCACTGGTGAGTTTCAGAATAAGAAGACTTGTGTTGGAGCTCCCAACTCTGTTTTTTTAAGAAAATCTCTCACCTTGTCCATTAATACTTAGATAACTGCATAGGACACATGTTAATGAGAAAGTTGGGAAAAATGTACCATATTTCTCTTCCAATTCTAAAATTAGCATCTATGATCTAATTAGTCACTGCTTCCTTACAATCACTAATAGGGAATACTAATATCCTAACTATTGAGCAAATAAATACGACATTTTTAATTAGGAAATGATCCTGAAAAACATGTAAATAGGAAAAAAAAGAATCCATGATTTTTCAATCTGTAAAAACATTTTGAGAACAATGTACAGAGAAGCCCAGTGGAACTTAAAAGGAACTGACATGGTAAGAGTACACTGGGGATACTTAGTCTCACTGAACCTGTTTCCTGCCTGTGCACATAGAGGACTCCCTACCCATCACAGGACCTGGAAACCACACCCAAGAAAGCACACAAAAAGTGCTTCCTGCAGAGCCTGGTATGTTCCAGGAATTCAGACCCACTCTGAAGGCTACAGGCAGCTCTCAGGCAGGCGTGATGCCAACAGTTCAGTGTGCAGAGCTACCAATCGTCTCAACCTCAGGGTAGCAGGTGCGACTCCAGAGGCTGCACTTCTTTTCCTTCCAGCCCTAAGAATCTTCTCCCAATACTACACAAGTATGGCAAAAAGGATAGTAAATCTTCTGAGCAATTGTCTACATTTCTTGCCAAGGCTTCCATGGAGCCAAAGGACTTGAACCAATTATCTGAGTGCTCTTTCTACTACTTCAGCCTCTCTGTGGTTCCCACCCCAACCCCACCCTACACAGGTAGACACTTCAGGAGCTTCTTCACCTGTCCTCTTTGTCTGGTGGGAGATCTTTCATTAGATATCCCCTAGGCTAACCCCCCTCCCCCCATCTCCTTAAGTCTTTGCACAAATCTCATCTTCTCAATGGGGTTTATCTTGACAACCCTCTTTAAATAATGAAAGCTGGCCCCAGCCCCATACTTGCCACTCTTACCCAACTCCATACTCTTTCTCCCTTAGCACTCACCATCTTCTAACCAACCATGTAACTCAACTATTGTCTACTGTGTCATCCCCACCCACTGTATGTGAACACCAAGACACGGAGTTTACTATTCACTGGGGAATCCCAAGTGTCTAGAACATGGATGGACTGAGTAAAAATGAGTAGTAAAGCAAAAAGGACTTAGAAGCAGTGGCACCAGACAATCATTCAGTGAGAAGTCTGATTCCAGTTGGTCGGCCGAGAGAGACTCAGTAACATCTATAGCCTGTCTGTAACAGTGCCTGCCACACTGTGGGCACAGATGAGTATTTCTGATGGAACTTCTCCCAGAGACCATGTCTTTGGCATTTGAATTTTATTCATATGCTACCATCCAGAAGGGCTTTTCATGTAACAGGGTGGACATACAGAGAACCCTTTCTGTCATAGATGAGGGGTCTCAGGCTAAAGGAGAGGAAGGGCTTGCCCTCGAGCATGACATAACCACAAAAGGCTGACATCCCTGGCTCAGGCCTCTGTCATCTCTACTCTACCAGCAGTGGCGGGGAGGGGATCGCTAAGCATAGTCACAGAAGTAAAAAGATTGCAAGAAATGTCAGCCATACCCTAGGCTAAAACAACCGCTATTTGTGACACCGCTATGCTTCAGTTCTCTCACTGACGTTTTTCTCTTCTTTAGTCAAGTTATCAGCTTTTCCTAACTCCTTTGTAACTGACACATCAACTCTCTTGGGGAATTCATCAGGTGTTTCATTTTCGGAGACAATTACAGTAAGATCCTATGACGGTGTCTTCAAACTGTCGTAGAGTAAAACCCTCCCACTCTTCTCGTGGTTTAATTTCTATTTTCTGTAAGAACCTCATAGACATCCGCCTGTTCCAAAGGTTCCAGGGGAAATGAAACAGAACTGCAAATTTTCTTAAGGTCAATGCTGAGATCACATCACCAGTGCTGTGACACTGTTACAAACGGCTCTTTGAAAGCTGCCTTTGCTTCCACGGCAGCAGCAGTGCTGACTCTTCCCTCTACGGTACAGGGAGCTTCTTTAAGGCTTTTATTTATCTTCTCAGCCAACAGCCTGTGCTGTCCGGATGAGCTGAGCTCAAGGATGTGAGGCAAGCCAGTCTGCAAACACACCAGAGTTTCACCAGAGTGGCTGAGCACGAGGCTAAATCCAAACTCCACTCCTCAGGAGAGGTGTAACCTGGGTGAGCTACCTGAGCTCTGTGAGTTACAAAGACTCAAACAGTAACTGGGAGGAGTACATAGGTAAGACAGAAAGAGCTGGTCCACCATCACTGCTCTGGAAATGTTAACCATTAGTTCTATTAACTTTTTACAACGAACTTCTTATAATACGGTTTCATCCATGCACAATGTCACACCTAATGACTTCTCATTATTTTTTATGTGCTTAGAGCTTTCACAGTAATTTATGTTTGATATAACAATGAACCCAGCAAACAAAGACTTTCCTCTCTGTGGCCACTGAGGCATGGTATGTACCAAATTGTTTCTATCTTTCCTGAACTGGGAAAGAAATTTGAGAGTGTTATGTCTGAAACAACACACCTTGACTTTCTGGTATTGCTGGTTCAGATTCCCCTCCGTGGTTACAATGCGCCCGTCAACATCTGTTTCCAACAAGTTCCCGTTAACTTCATCCTCCTCTCCAATCTCTGACTTGCCATCGCCTTCTTGAAAATGGGTCCCGTTCTGCTCAATGACCTGCATGTGCTTAGTCCCCTCCCGTTCTGAGTCTTTGTCAACTTCTGACAACCAGTCCAAAAGGCTTTCGATTTTGGTTTTGCTCTCTTCCAGCTGCCTTACGGCTGCAACCTGGGCAGGGAAGGTGCACAATTACAGACACAGGTCAGGCACACTTCAAATAGTTTCCAAAAGTCACTGTTCAGGGAGTTTTAAAAGATAAAAACTGACATGCCCTGGAAATGGGACACACTGAAATTAAACCTTAAGGCAACTTACTACTCTCAAAAGCACACCCCTACATTTTAGCTGTAACTGATGAGTGACTATCACCTCCCAAGTCCAAGTCTCACAAACCTGCTTCACATTTAAGAAAACGTTAAGCAAAGTCATCTCGTCAAACCCTTTGTGGTATTTGGCCAAGTACATGTCTGGGAACCCAGAATTCCAGTTCTGGCCCTAAATATTGTTCACTACCATTGATATCACTTAATAAAGTCAAGCAGCTGTTACATTAATCATGTTTGACAAACCAACAGTGTGCCATGCATTTGAGTAAACACCTTTTCAGTTTCTTCCTTGATTGCTGTTTTCACAACTTTATCCAGCTCCTTTTTTGATTGTTCTGCCTTTAAATTCAGCTGTTCGCACTTTGTCTTTGCTTCACTAAGTTTCTGTTCAATCAAAGCCTTGTCCTCTTGTGATAGCTTTTCACCATTCTCTTTCAAGAAGTTTTCTGTGTTTTTCACTATTTCTGCCAATGCCTGTGCACTTCCTTGCATATCTTTCTGCAACTCCTTATAACATGGAAGAAAAAAATGTTTTATTAAATAATTGCACATTTAACTCTTTCAGAACTGTAATTCTAAAAGAAGGGTGCAGAGAGAGTGTAACACACGTGGTTTAAAAAGAATATTGACTATAAACCAGCAGAACTGCTTCGTTGCAATGATAATAATTAAGTAATAATAATTAAGTAATTTGAAATCTTAACACTGAAGTAAAGCATGAGAACTGTGAGCTTAACAAAAGGATGTAGTTTGCAAAACACTAAAAATATATGTGTTTGGTATATACTCCATACAAATAGGCCAGATTTTTTTTATATTATATAAGCACATTAACGAACTCTTGTAAATACACAGTAATACATATTCTACACACTGAATTTTAAATATATGTATTTATTGCTCAGGATCAAAAACAAAATATTTCTCCTGGTGACTTAAGATACTTTCTTCTTCTGAACACCAAGCTCTATAACATTTAATGGCTGCCAGGAGGCTCACCTTTACAGCTTTCTCTATCTAGAGAAAGGAAATTTCCTAATTTTACCCTTTTCCTTTGTTATTATGCATTTCTGTGTTTGAGTTTCAATATTATTTTTCTCTACACTTTTAGTCTCCTCAATTTTTTTGGAGAAGTATTTGAATTGAAAGAGATCCTATTTGCGGGGTACTACTGGCTCATGCTTGAGAGGCTCAGATTGGGAGGATCATGATTTGAGGCCAGCCCAGGAAAATAGTTTGTGAGACCCCCCCCATCTCCAAAATAATCACAGCAAAATAGACTGGAGGTGTGACTCAAGTAAGCATGAAGCCCTGAGTTCAAAACCTAGTCCCACAAAAAAAAAAAAAAGCAAGAAAGAGAAAGACTCCAAACTGATGGCTATTTCTTCTGATTTACAATGCAGCAGGTTGGCTTTAAATGGATTCAAATTTTAACTCACCACATAGGTATTTCCATTATGAAGTCTTCTCCTTTAAGACCCAATGTCTTACCAGGAAAGTCAAGAAAATTCTAATCTGGCCTGCTTTGAGTTGGAAATCTAACTTTGAATATAAAGTTTCAAGGTCATGCCTGGAGCTCTAGGTATGCCTTGCTTCTGGAAATCTAAAATTAGTGCTATTATTCAACAGTCTTAACTGCCTTCCAAATGACAGTAATTGAACCTAACAGGAATGTACAGTGGCCAGTACTAAATTGAATTCTACCTCTTGCTTGGACTGGTATTTCTTTAATTCGGTCGTGCCATCTCCAATCACGAAGGCTTCTTGGTGACCAATTAGTCGGTTTTCAGTTTGAGTGAGGAGATCACATATCCCTTGGAGTTTGTCCTTGTACTCCTGTTGACGCTCTGCCACAATCTGAAGTAGAGAAAACCCAGAACATCTTCAGTGTGTGCCCCCCAGATATGACAGTTTCTTATAGAACACACTTTTCAACCTTCCTCTACTAAGCTTTTACGAGTATGCTGTAAACATGGTAGCAGTGGGGTACACACTGAGCAAAGAGAGACAGACAGAATGAGGATGTCCCATATATAAGGAAAGAGAGCATGTCTGGATGAAGTTGCTCAACAGGATACTGCCCATGCATATGTGTGAGAGATGGAACTTCTGACCAACAGGAAGAAGCATCCCATTTTCTTAAGCTCTCGAAACCTGCGACACACACTGTTAATTCTGCAAAAGGACACCAAAAGAGAAGTTAGTCATGATTTGAAGTTAACATATTTGATACGCATTTACAGGTTATCGTGCTAGAGACAATGTCTGGGTGCTTCATGAAATCATAAAAGGCACAATGCATGCAAAACTTTTACTTAATCACTCTGGCTAATTGTGTTCCGTTTCTTTGCTCATTATTGCTGTTAGGTATGGCATTTTAGCACAACTCTAAATATTCCAAAAGACCAATCAGTCAATAGCATTACTTGTGATTTTCATTTTCCTATCCTACATACACTGATCATTCATCTTGTAGACACAGTAAACATAGCTCATTGAGGGTTTTATATAAATTCTGTGATCAGTGCTCACAAAAGTACCAGATAAGCACTATTATTATTTCCAATTTAACAACAAGAAACCCAAGGTTAAGTGGCTTACTCTCAGTCACACAATGAGTGATGAGAGCAGATGGGATGCAAACTCAAGAAATCTGGCTCCAGAGCCCTCGCTCTGAGCTGCTGTGCCTCACCACTGCCCAGGGAGAAAGACACTCTCTTCCCTCTGTTCATCAAGTTATTCCCAGAAATTTCAGAGTGCATCCATATTTCCTATTTTTAGGGAAAAAAAATCCAGACTCTCACTTAACAAAATTAGTTCTAGAGAGTCACGAAAATGAAAATCAAGGAAATCAGAGGGTCATTATGAAAAGCAGTATTGATATACACTGTGGGAATGCTACAGTATATCCTGTCCACTAATGCCCAGTGCACGGGTATCTGCATTAAAGTGTCACACTGACAAAGTAAAAACAAAGAATTCCAATTCTACAAAGAAGGGCAAACCTTCTGATCGTCAAGATCTTGCTCGAGCTGTAACTGAGTCTCCAAAAGATCCACCTGGGCAGCTGCAGATTCCTGCACATCAAGGAAACTCTTCTGAGTTGTATTTAAGAGCCTCAGCAGCTGTCTGCTCTGGCAGGGGGACAGAACTTGTGCATATTCAGAAATGAAGAACTGCACATCAAAGGCAGTTGTCTCCAGCTGAGATTTCGTATGTCCAAGGTCTTTTAACACAGTCTGTGAACAAAGTTGTTCAAGTTACCAACAGAGAGCCAAGCCATGAGAAGTTTACACTAACAATTAAATGGATTTCTAAAATAAGTTCTTCTATCTGGTATTCAAAGGTTTAATGACATTTTCAGTATTCATCAACAACCTATTTATCACCTAGTAATACAAATAATTTAAGTGTGGTGATAATTAGTATTATATAAAAAGATAAACAACCCCTCCAAGAGTATTACAACTTTGCTTCACATATCACACTTGAAATGAAACGCTGACAAAAGGCCAAGATCCAACTCTATGTCAGAGGAAGAAAACGTGGACATTACGACATCACTGGC